CCCCCCCCCCCCCCCCCCCCCCCCGGGCCCAGCCAGCCGCCCACCGAGCAGCAGGTTCTCGGGTTTGAGGTCCCTGTGGGCCACCTTGCGCTGGTGCAGATAGTGGACGCCCCGCACCGTCTCCGTGAAGTATCTACACGCCCGCTCGTTGCCCAGACGACCCATCGCTGTACACGCACACACGCAGACACACAGACACAAACACGGGTGCGGTGGTGGACGGCCTTTGTCGTCTCTGTCGTCTACGCATTACTTACGCGAGTGTTTGAGTTTGCTGAAGAGCTGGCCATTCTCCGCCAGCTCCAGCACCAGGTAGACGTTCTGGCTGTCGTCGTAGGTCTCTCGCAACCGCAGAATGTTGGGATGCTTGAGGCTGCAGCAGACAGGGAGGGAGGGAGGGAGAAAAGGAGAAGAAAAAGGCCGTCAGTCTGTCGTGTGCGTGTGTGTGTCCGTGTGTGCGGGAAAGTTCTTTCTTCCCTCGTTACTTTTGCTGTATGCCGATCTCCTTGAACAGCTGCTCCTCCATCTGTCACGCGGACAACACACAAGCAGCCCAGCAACGACGGTCCGTCCATCGATTCGGCATTCATTCTCTCTACTTCCCTTCTCTCTCTCTCCCCACCTCCATTTCCTTCATCTTCTGTATGTCCATGATTTTGACGGCATACTCACGGTCTGGACGGTGCCGGCTGCGGCATCTATGGACCACCTGCCGCACAGATATAGTGACGGACAGACAGATCTACCTACTCTCTCCATCCCTCCCCACTTTCGTTCCTTACCCCGTATGTGCCCTTCCCCAGCTGTCCAGTGAGCTCGTACTTGTCGAAAAACATGGCTGGGAGAGCGGCTCAACTGCGAGCTTGAATCATGTAAATTTCTCCGGTTTACTCCCGTTCCCCCCAGTTCATGATGTGGTCTACAGGCGTCTTGTTGTTGGCGGTTCTCAGCCTCGTTGCAGCAGCGGCGAGCCACGATTCATCCCACAAAGAACCAATGGCATATGGAGCTCGAGTGCCTGGGAGGCCGCTGGCGGGGCGCCTGCAGGGCGGCAGCTCCACCACTGATATGGAGGGTGAGGCCCTGTGGGCAGCACAGCCAGGCCAGCCATCGCATCTCTTCATTCATTGCCACCAACAGCATTCACTTCATGTGTGTGTGTGTGTGTAAGCAGTATCATTATCACCAGACGAGGGCGTTCCGGGCGATTACTCGTGGGGAGGAGGCAGAGCGGGTGGAGTGGCCGACCCGGTGAATGGAGAGGATTACCCCAGTAGAACCGCACAAACGCCACAGCGGGCGACAAACACGGCCACAGGTGACCGCCAGACACCACACACACACGGGGGCAGCACCATGGCTCTTTTTCTTTCCCTCTGCAGATATATCCTCGTGGAGCACCCCTTATGCGTGTGACGAGCGTCTGTTCCACCTAGAGCAGCAGCAGCGGGCCCTGATCCACGACAAGAAGATGCTGCAGGAGGAGCTGAGCTACCTCAAGGCCACCGTTCACAAGCTGGCGGCGGTGGTGGAGCCCATGTCGCTCACGGACGGAGGCAGCACCCTCATGATCAGCGGCGTGAACGTCAAGATAGTCAACGGAGAGGGCGCCACTGACACGGCCAATGGGAAGGGTACGTTGTGGCAGGTGGTGCATCACTCTTTCCTGCATACGTTTCTTGCTTGGTACGGTGTCAGGTAATCTGATATTTGGGTATGAGGACTGCCAGGGCGAGGTGGCCACTAGCGATGCTGCTGGTGGGGGGACAATGGAGACCACATATGACAGCAGCAGCAAAATCAGTTCCGCCCCACGATTCCGCCGTACCGCCGAGAACGGCCAGAACGGCCACACCTCACTCTTGGAGGACCGCTCTGGCTCACACAATCTGGTGGGTGTCTCGTCTCCTCCACAGCTCTGCCTGTGCGTTCATTCTTGCCTGTGTGTGGTCGGTGTGGCTGTGTTCAGATAATGGGATGCGGCAACAGCTACTCGTCATATTCGTGCATCCTCAACGGCATCCACAACCACGTCCACAGCCCGTTCTCGTCCATATTCGCGGGGGCACACAACACCATCCACCGCGCCACACCCGCACCCGCACCCTATGTCACCCCCTACGGCCCTGGTCACTCGTGCATCCTCACGGGCAACCATGGCACCATTCACGGAGACAGAAACGCCATTATCACCGGCCATCAGAACAAGTGCAGCATGGCCTTCGGCACCGTTGTCAGCGGCCAGGAAAACTCGGTCGGTTACGGCGGCTGCGTGACGGCGGGGAGGAGGAACAAGGTGGAGGAGAGCTGGAGTGTGTGTATGGGTGGCCAGGGCAACAGGGTGGTGGATGGGGCTGTTTATGGGGTGTGCGTGGGGGGCAAAGACCACGAGATGGGCGAATCTGGTGAGGTGGGCTGTTTGACATGAGGCAGGTGAGGTGGGCACGGCACACTCTGTTTTAGGTGGGTGGGGTGGGTGGAATGAACGGTGATCTGATCAGCTGTGGAATGGACGAGCTAGTTAAGACGTTTGTCCATCGATGTGTGAGTGTGTTCGGGTCGGGTGTGTGCAGCTGATGCCATGCAGACAGACCAAGCTTCATGTTAGTTATTGTACAGCGTGTCCGATTTACAAACGAATGAATGAATCCTCACGCACAGCACATGCCACCACGCACCCCGACCCCAAAGCAACCAACCAACGGCGAAACCACTAGCTAGTTATCCTCCGGCCCCAGCTCCGCCCCACACCCGTCATCCATGTCTTCGTCCACATCCCCTCCGTCATCGCCATGCATGTCAGGCGCCACAACCACAGTGGCGTCCTCCTGCGGCTGATGCACCTCCTCACCCACACGACCCTCGCTCACAACGGTCAACGGGCCACCCTCATCTGGAACCACCATGTCATGCGGCTGCTGCTGCTGCTGGTGGTGGTGGCCATGCTCGACGACGGCGCTTCTAGTGTCGGGGGGCGGCAGCTGCTGATCTTGCGGATGGTGCTGGTGCTGGTGGTGGGGGTAGCCGTTGATGCTGGGTGGGGTGTAGGTGCCGCCACCGGCCCCGCTGCCTTGCTCGGTGTGGTCATCGATGAATCGGATAAAGTCCAAGATCTGCGGGAACTTCTTGCCGGCGTAGTGAATGGCGGCCTCGCCGCGATACATCCACGCCTTGTACTCACGCCGCACGCCATCCTTCCCCCTCATGAAGTAAGAGGCCGTGTCCATGGCTGCACTCACACACGCACACAAGCATGGCAAGCATGGCATGGAGGCAGACAGCGCGCGATGCGATGTGCGTGGTGTGGACAGACAAGTGTGTGTTAGTTGCTGAGATCCCTCCCTCCCTCCAGACTACGTACGTGAGGATGAGTTGATTTGTGGCTGCGATGCGATAGACGTCTCGTGGGAGGGGGCGGCAGCCATCGACGGGGGCATGGGGGGCGGGGGGAACATCAGCCCGCCTGTGGGCAGGGGGGGCGGCTCTGGCAGAACCGAAAACTGATCACCTACACAGAGTAAAACAACACAAGCACACAAACCACGATAGTCCATCAGGTCAGAGTGCCGTGAACTGCGTCGTGTTCTCTCATCTCAGCCGTGCTTACCTTCCTTGGTGGTCTCGCCGAAGATGTCTTCATCGGTGAGGTCCCCACTGCCCGGCCCGCTGGTGGCCCAGAACCTCGCAGGCAGTGTCAGCACCGGTCCCCTGCCGTCTTGCTGCCCCTGCTCGCCGACGTCGTCCTTGCCCAGATCTGCCCATCCCATAGCTGACGATGATGCCGGCTCCTCCTCTGACGATGGGAAGAGGCTGTCAGGTATGTTGATGCTCACGGATGCGTCAGCTGGAGGCTCGTGTTGGTCGCTGGCCGCGGCGGGATGAACGCCTTGCTGCCTTTGTGTGCTGTTGTCGAATGGGCTGCGCTGGGGTGCGGGGATGAAGTCATCGTCGTCGTCGTCTTGTTCTGTGCGTGTGGAAGCCACTGGGTGTTCGTTGATCAGCACTGCGTGCTCCTGATCTGATGGCTGCTGGGTGACACGAGATGATGCGCCTTCTTCATCCATTTTGCTGTTCTTCTCGCCGCAGATAGCTCGCAGGGTAGCCTAGGGTACTGCCTGAAACCGCTGCAGCCACGGCTCCTTTGAGGAGAAAGCGGGGCTTGAGGATGGTCAGAGCGACGAGCATTCCATCGACGACCCCCCCATTCCCCAGATCTGCGTCCTCGCCGCATCTCTCAGCGAGCATATCACGCCGAACCATGAAGAACACCTGGAGGCGGGGCAGCGGCAGCCTCCTCTGCACAGGGGCATTTGTCATCTGCCTGTGGTCTTTGCTGGTGACCGCTGGAGCCTTTCATCTGCGGCCGACCTCAGTGCTTGTGGCGAGGGGGAGAGTCGGCTTCCCTGCCCTGGGAGGGATGCAGCTGCAGCGATTGAGATCAAGGTGGGCCGCGTTGGCCACTCGCTGAGATGCTGACGCTCGGATCTGGCTCATCCCTCTCATGCTCCTCGGCGCGTCACGCGTGTCTGTGGTGTGTGGTGTCTGTCAGGCCTGTGTGGGGTGGGAGCCATCTTGTGTTGTCGATGGCCGACGATGACGACGACGATGACGAGGATGAGGACGAGGAAGAAGAGGCTGCCGAGGAGGAGGAAGAAGAAGAGGAAGGTGCGCGAGGGAGCGACGCCACTGCATCTTCATGCTCGTGTTCTTATTGTTCTGTGTGTGTGGGGGGTGCTGCAGCGAAGGATGAGCTGCGTGTGGGCAAATTCCGCACCACCTGGAAGATCGGCAACGTTGAAGAGGTCAGACGACGACCGCCGAGTACACGGCGTACTGACTCCATGGGTGTGTGTGTGTTGTGTCCCATGTGTGTTGCAGAAGCTGCGTTGGCACTGGCGCGAGATGAAGTCGCCTCCCCTCCGCACATCCCGGTTCCCCTTCATGGGCACTCGCGGATTCCAGCTCAAATTCTGGCCAGATGGGAATGACTCATCCAAGAAGGGGTGAGGGACGAAGCACCACGAAACAACACACATGGGGATGGTGGCCCATTCATTCATTCTACTCTTATTTTGATGGATGGTCTGTCTGGTCTGGTGCATCAGGTACTGTGCTTTGCACCTGCACTACCCGGAGAACTGGGGTGCCCTGACCCAGCCCATCACTCTCTTCGTCGGCCCGTACAAGAGGGGACCTCTGACCTACCGATCCCAGGAATACTGGAAGGTCAGCAAACCACACCACAGACACCAAGTGACTCACATTCATATGGGCCCCTGTGTTGTGTGCTCATGCCTGTCTGTTTGTCTGTCTGTCTGTGCACTGCAGGCTGCGATGTCGCTGTGCCGTCTTGAGGATCTGGATCTGTCCAGCGATGAGCTGGAGGTCGGCGTCGAGGTCGGCACGGCGTGACCGACGATATGTGTCTGTCAAGGGCATCGCATCCGTCCATCCCATCCACCTTTCGAGTGGCTGCTGAGCTGATATGCACCAGCCAGCGATGCATGCATGCCTCGAGAGCTGAGTGAGAGATGTTGTGTGTCATTTCAACAAGGCGACCAGTGAGTGGTCTGACGAATGAAGCTAGCTGTGAATGGACTCACTCGACGAGTGAGCTGCGCTGCATCTTGATGCGTCAATGCAGTGCGACAGACACGAGTGAGTACACACAAGTTATTGAATCAATCTACACAAGGTAAACAGGTCCCTCCACTCGCTGCGCGTACACACAGACACGTATGTATCCGAGCAGCGATCCCCACTCCACCTATTTATTGCACAAACTATCCATACACACGCGGCAACAGCGATGCTACGACACGAGGGGCGAGAATAGCGTGTCGGCCGCCTCGGCCGTCCCCAGCAGCAGCTCACAGGCCTGTCTGAAGTCGTCACCTAAGCTATTCACATGCTGCCCACCGATGGCCAGGAGAAGTAGGTCGTCCACATCGTGACCGCGAATCGACCTCGAGTACGCGACCGTCTCCCTCGCGGCCGCCAGGGCCTCCTCCTCGCCCCGCCTGCACATGTTGAGCACCATGCACCGCCACGCCAGCAGCCGCAGCACCAGGAGGCTGCCGCCTTGCTCCTCCATCTGTCGGGCCTCCTGCAGCAGCTCGTTCACCATCTGCAGCCCCCTCTCGCCGTGTACGGGTGACCCGACGCACCCCTCCACCTTGCGGTGTGCAGATGGAGTATCCATCTTGTCCGCTGGATGAATCCACCACTCCGCTGGAATATCCATTTTGTCCAATTCTTCCCACATCTGCGCGGCGAGGGACAGCACTCGCGGGGGATCGCATGGCGGGGGCAGCTGGTAGTATCTCGCCAGCTCGATCTCGCGCTGAGGGGATGTCCACAGCTGGTCCCAAAAGGACACCGTCACCTCGCCGCCGCGGGGGATGGGCCGGATGGCACGGACGATGAGCAGACCCTCTACTTGGTACCTGAATGACGATCACACACACACAGCCTCGGTGCTTGTGTTGTTTTATGGTATGGGCTGACCCGACCCACCAGATGGCATTCCGCTTCTCCCCGGCGTGCTGCATCAGAGAGGCGAGTGGCCACAGGCCGCTAGTGGGGTGCAGAAGGGGCACTGAGGGGTGGGATGCACACATCCACCAGACAGACACCAGGCACCAGACACCAGACAGCAGCGAGAGACCCATATGAATGGATGGATGGACCAAATGGATTGCTGAGGGATGGCTCACCACACTTGCTGAGGGGGCCCAGACCACCGTGTTTGGTCAGATCGCCAACCTTGCGGAAGTTGAATGCGACCAGATCGGCCAGCCTCTCGCGGCCACCACCATCCAACGTGGCCGCGGGCGAACCGAACTCCTCCTTACCCGAACTCGAATGCATGAATCGCGGCAGCATTGGGAAGCACGGAGCCAGGCCCAACAGGGTCTCGCGTGACGGCGGCGCCGCCATGGACGACGCCTGTCCCCTGCCCCTTGGCAGACAGAACAGCTGAGAGATCTGACGAGGGTGCCAGCTGTCCTGGTCGGCGCTCGTGTATCCGAGAGAGGAAAATCCATCGAGGCCGGGAAAGACGGGCTTTTGGACGAGCAGCAGCTGCCCCACCTGGCTTATGTCCTCTGTCGCGCACAGGCTGGGCTGCTGGCCCTCGGAGTGCCGCACGGCCAACGGGCCTGCATACTCGGCCACGTCGATGGATGGCGTGGGCCGGCCGAGCTCCCTCTCCTTGCCGTTGTCCACCGCCTGCCGGTAGATGGCCGCCCAGTTGTAGACGCCCTTGGCGTTGGTCCGGTGGGTGCTGATGCGCTGCTGGAGGGTGTCGGCCTCGTTCTGCATCTGGCCCTCCGAAGCCTGATAGTGACACACGCACCCAAAGACGCATACACGGTCGCATTCTGCCCAATAGATCAACTCACGTGTTTCTTGATGGCCTTGGCCACCACATCGGCAGCACCGAACAGCCGCTCGGCCAGCAGCCCCTTGCCCAGCCACGCGAGGCTCCTCTGCTGGATGGTGGTCAGCTGGTGGGAAGGGCGGTGGTCCAGAAAGCTCAGGTGGAGGGCGGCAGCCGCGCAACCAACTGCGTCCGGGCCCCCCTCTTTGACCAACAACCGCCTGAGCAGACAGAATGAGGCGTTGCTCAGCAGCGTGACGAGGGTCTCCACGTCAGCACCAGCCAGACCAGCCGTGAAGCAGTTCCGCGCCCGCGCATACTGCTCATCGTCCTGCAGCTGCTCGCCCTCCGTCAGCGCCAGCTCCATGCACGTCGGGACCACAACTGGTCTGTCCCTCGTGCAGAGCTCCGCCATCGCGAGCTTCATCAGCCGTGTGGTGGCCTTCCTCGATGGCAGCCTGAAATCGTCGGCGTCACCAGCGGCCGCCTGCTGGCCATTAAGCCACTTGATGATGCCCTTGTACACTTGGTGTGCTGTCTGCTGGGTCAGGGCCGCCCTGCTGTCGGGTGCGAGGGACGGGGGCGGCGGCAGGATGCGGAGGGCCGTGGTGACGTCGAGGAAGGCGCTGACGTAGCTCTCGAGGGCGAAATGGCACTGCCCGCGACGGACCAGCAACTCAGCGAGAGACTCGGGGCCGCTGGATCGAACGCCCTGCAATCCAAAAGTCACTCACAGCACACATCTGATCTGTCCATTCTGTGCGTGTGCGTTCCTTTTTTTTTGGTTGCGATTAATTAGCACGCTCACATGGATGAATACGCGGTAGGTGTCGAGACACTTGCCACTGTTGCAGAGTGCCGTACCGACAGCCGTAGCGGAAAAAGGGCTACTGGTGTGAAAAGCAGAAACAGAAACAACAGCTCAGTTCATCGTCTTTGTGTCAGTGTCTCACACAACCCTCCCTCCCTCCCTCACTTGGCGGATTGTGACAGAGGCCGTGGGGTGTTGCTCCCCATACACAGGCGCACCTCCTCCAGCATCGCCCCAGAAGGCCTCACACGGCCACCTTCGCGGCCGATGTCGCACGGCTGTCTGCTAGGCATGGGCGTGTCTGCATGGCCTTGTGCGGCCAGCCGACAGGAAGCACTGCCGCTGCTGCTCGGGGCCGCTGCTGTGGGCCGCCGTCTGTCCTCGGCAGTGGTCCCGCCGCTCGTCGAGGGCCCCATGGCTGCCTCCTTCCTGTCCCCCATGACCTCATTGAGGCGCTTGCGAAGTGCGTCAGAGCGACCGACCAAGGAATGTTGGTCGGCAAAGGAGAGCGTCGACTGCACGCGAATCATCTCATTCAGCCTTTTCGTCTTCACACGCATGTCGTGGGCAGCAGCGAAGGCCACCAGAGCGTCCTCCATGGCTTCAACGGGCCCAGCTGCCGCCCCACGGGTGCTGCTCGAGGATGCGGCCGGACCTCTGGCGGCGGCAGACGGGGAAGATGTGAGCGGCTGAGCGCTGCTGGCGACCTTTCCCAGAAAGGTGGACACCTGATGGAGCACACGAATGAGAAGCGAACTTCTCCCTCCCTGGTTACATACCTTGTGTGGCACATTAATGGTCGAGCCATCGTCCCCACGCTGAGCTGCCTGCAGCTGCGCGATGGAATCCAGCTGCAACACACACACACACACACACACACAGGGGCACGGTCGTAGCCGAGCGTCTTTTCTCAAGCTCTACCGACCTGCACGATTCGCTCGGCTATCCGGTTGCTACTCCAGCTTCCATCGTCTACTTGCCCATCGCCACACCTGCGTCGCACACAGACCAGACCACATTCATGGCAAATGGGGCCATGCTGCGTGCATGCTCTATATGTGTGTGTGTGTGTGTGTGTGCGTACGAGATGAGATCGTCCAGCTGGGCGGTGATGCGCTCCACGTCGTCACGCTCCGCATCGCCTGCCGCCGCCCCCAACTCGAGCTCGCCCTTGAGCTTCATCAACAGGATGTCACACAGGGCATCAGGCAACTTCTCCTCAGTTGCTACAGCCTGTGTCACATCACACACGGCGACCACACAGACGTGGACCGTGTCCATGCCGACCGAGTTTGCCTGCCTGTGGTGCCATTCATGCTCGCCTGTGCGTCGTTGAAGAGCACGTCGTCGATGACGTCCATGCAGCTGCCCAAAACGTCGGGAGCTTTGGGGTGAGGCGGACCTGACGCAAGCAGCACTCCACGGTCAGCCAGCACACTCGTCGCCGCACGGACAAATCCAGCCCGAACTAATCGGCGCACGCGCCTCTCACGCACTTCGGGATCAAGGGTGGTCTCTGATGTAATGCCAGACAGTGTTGGGGGATGCTTTCATGCCTCCCTCTCTCGTGTGGGTGCATCGCTCACCAGCGATGCGGATGGGTATCTGCAGGGCCATGGCTACCACATCTGCGCTGCACTTGGCCGCCTCCAGACTCTCAATCATCAGCGATGCGACGGCCTGCAGCAGGCTCCTTTGGTCCGACATCTGAACCGTCACCCGCTCCAGGGCTGCATAACACGACCACAGATGGCACTAGTGGCAGACGCAACAGGCAGACACGCAAGAACATACAGCGTACCGTCGTCAAATCTGTCCATCCACCCAGGTTGGTCGCCCCCATCGTTCTCCCAGTCGTGTGTCTCAGTGACGCTCCACATGCCGTACGCCACGGACCCGAGCAGTCCCGTGGCCATCCACTTGACCGCCGGCTCGACAGACGGCGACGCCACTACACTGATGAGCTCCTCCACCTTGCTCGTCATGTGCTCCTGAAACGCCCGCAGCAGCTCACCACTCGCACCTGAACACCATACTCAGACCAACTCGGGCAACTGAGGTGACGCATCGTAGGCGGCCTCCATCCCTACCTTCTGGCTCCACATCGTAGGCCCTGCGCGGCTCCTGACGGGCCTCTCGCGGCGCTGCGATGCGCTTGAGGTACCTCATCACGCCGCCAAAGAGTGCGTCAAATCTGGAGCGCTTCTGCTCGGTGGAAAGCGCCTCCGTCAATACGACCTTCACGCTAGTGCGAAGAGACGCAGCCATGACGAGGCGGGGAGGGTCGGGGTGCCCGTCGAAGAGAAGAGCTCCACAAGGAAGGTGACGGCATCTGCCCTCCGTGTGCCGTCTTCCTCCGCCCGTGCGATGAGCATCTGGTGGTCCGACAGGATGATAGGGTGGACGACGCCGCCCCACTCCCTCAGCAGAGCGGAAAGCAGGCCAAACTCGGCCCTGCCAAGGCCGCATCCACCGCCCAGCCTGTCCACCGCGGCGACGAGCTGTCTGACCTGCGGCAGTGTCGACGAGAACCGGTAGCCGAGCTCCACAAGCCGCCTCAAGACCACGAGAGCCGTGTTGCCCGCCACGAGAGTCGTGTTGCCCGCAAGCCCCACGGCGATGACTGAATGCCCCGTCGCGTCTTGGAAGCACTGAATGAAGCAGTCGAGCAGGGCGTGGGAGTGCACGACTTGGAGTAAATCGCTCTGCCTCTGTTGCAGCGCCATCACCAGCTGCCTCTGCTCGATCGTGGCATGATCTCCGCGCGCCGTCAGGTAGACGCTGAGCAGGTCGAGAGGGCCCCGCCTCGCAAGGGCATCTGGTGCGGCAATGAAGGCGTCTACTGCCTCCGCCAACTTATCCACAGTGACCCCGGCACCGGCAAGTGGGGATCTCCTTCGGCTTCCGCTGCTCATCCTCAACGAAACCAGGCCAAGGCACCCTGAGGCTCCCCACAGCTATCTACGCCGATTCCATGAGCCCATTCCGTGAAACCGCTCGTCGACCAAAGAGGCGTCACAAAGAGCGTTTTCCCTTATCTCTCTCTTGTCGAAACATCATCTATGAGCAAAGGCGTGACAGGATCTCCTGCATTTTGCACTTCAACGGGGCGAAGAAGCGCGACATTGTCACGCTGCTGCTGATCTGTGCTGATCTGCCCATCGCCCGGGCTCGTCCCTGTCTTGTCACGTCGTGTGCCGATCGGCTGTGCCCAGCCACGCCATTCAATCGCCCCTCGCACTCCTCCCGGGAGTGGTGCCGTTGGTCAGCCAGCAGCTATTATGAGTGGAATTCGCCGCAGCCTCGGTGACGGTGCCCGCCATCTGTGCGCCCTCCCCCTCCCGCCTCCCTGCCTACCCCCACCAGCCACACACAGGTGGCCGATCAAGTCGCTGTCTGCGGCAGCCAGGAGGCTTCAGCACTCATCGTCACCACCATCGTCGGTGTCTGCCGAGCCTTCTCAGCCGGCGCCGGCATGCAGGAGGCATGGCGAGCAGAGGAGTGAGGTCGTTGGTTATTATCGGTCTGCAGAAGGGAGGTCGCTGCTGCATCAGCCGAGGAGGGGGCAGATGATGGCTGGGCGGGGGAGGGCTATGTGTGAGCAGCGTCGGTGTTTTTTGGGTTTGCATCTGCCGCACCTGCCCGGCACTGACACGAAGCCCCTCCACCATGAAGACAGGAAACTCGTGCCGTAAGCAAAGCAGAGGGAGGAGGGCGAGGCGACCACATGCTGCGTAGGTTGAATTCCATCCATTGTCTATCGATTGTGTTGTGTGAGTCGTGCAGTTACAGCCCCGAGCAGTACTATGACCTGGTGGTGGATGTGGAAAACTACGAGAAGTTCCTCCCATGGTGCCAGGTAACGTACACACAGACATCCACACACAGCACAGCACAGCACAGCCTTATCGTTGGTTGTATCCTCTCACTGTGTGTGGGCTGGCCTGCCGTCTGTCTGTCTGTCTGTTTGTCTGTGGGCTGGCCTGTCCGTCTGGATGCATCAGGAGTCTCGTTTGGTGACCGAGGGCAACCCCGGTCCGGCGCGGGATGCGCACAAGACAGCCACCTCCGCCCGATTCAAGGCCGAGCTGGTCGTGGGGTTCAGGCTGTTCAAGTGAGCAAGGGGCAAAGGGGCCAGCCAGGATGGATGTCATGTCGTGTGTATGCCATCCATGTCTGTCATTTTGTGTAATGTATGTGTTGTTCCCCTTCCAGGGAGCGTTACACGTCGATAATCGACGGGACGCGCCCCAAGCTGATCAAGGTGTCGGCGGCCGACTCGAACATATTCGAAAGGCTGGTGGGGTGGGCTCTGACTGATGGACTGATGGATGCAGTGATAGATCGCATATGTGATGTGTGGATGCATTGTGTCTGCTGGTCTGTCGATGTATGTGTGTGTGTGTAGGTGAACATATGGCGCTTTGAGAACGGCCCCGAGCCCCAGACATGCTGGCTCACATTCACCATCGAATTCAAAGTCAGTCAGCCCCACACAATGACTGACCGTCACAAGACAAGCAATAAAGCAAATTGTGGTTGCTGCCTGTGTGTGTGTGTGTGTACTGGCCAGTTCGCATCCGTCTTCCACCAGCAGGCTGCGGGCCTCTTCCTCTCTGAGGTCTGTGCGTTGGTGGGTGGGTGTTTTGGTGCGACAGACACATCGTGTCGTGTGTTATGTGATGGTGTGACCAGGTTGCCCAAGCGATGGTGCACTCATTCGACAAGCGAGCGTCTTTCCTATACGGTGGGCCAACAGGCCACACACGAGAGGAGAGAGAAGGGGGAGACACACACACACACGCAGTGCAGAGCAGTTTTTCTCTTTGTCGATGGATTGACCCAATCAGGTCGGTCGCAGCACATCAGCCCCGCCATCACAAGCCCATCGGTAACTGACACGGACAGAGAAATGATCCAGTCCCACAAGGAAACCCGCTCATATTGTCTCCTTCCTCTCCTTTCTTGCAGCGTGCCCCGGAGGCCCGTCCAATGCGCCTGGCGCAGCGGCCGGCAGAGGCGCCCCGAGCACCCGCCGTGGCACCAGCGAGGCCAGTCCCCACCCCCGCCCCGCCCCGTGCAGTGAGGCCACCGCCCACCCCCGTGGCTGCAGCAGCCGGCAGGAGGGAGCCGGCCGTTCTCGCGCCAGGCGAGCTGGAAGCCATCACCTCACGTAGAAAGGGGATATGAATGAAAGGCCGGGTGGGTCGGTGAGTGTGCGCTGATAGCATCCCTCCCTTCGTTTGTTCGTTGGTTTTGGTGTGTATCTTCAGTGGGCTCCCAGGTGACCTCGTTTTCGTTTTCCGACTGGGCGCGCATGCTTTTGCGGATTCAGCAGCTGGAGAACGGCCAGAGGGTCAACTCCAGGGAGGCCAAGGCGCTGAGGAGCCTCGTGAGGCAACAGAAGCCCGAGGTACGTGTAATGAGAACAGGCAGACCGCGTGTGCATGTGTGTGTGCTGCGCGTTGATCGTCATGTCATCGATATATCATCAGGTGGGTATAGTCTTTGTGGCGTATGATCCGTTCTTTCACCACCCGCACGAGGGACAGACCTCGGGGGACTCGCCAGAAGAGGTCAGCCAGGCAGGCAGGCAATGAGGCAGGGAGGAAGGAATTCAACACGTTGAAGCCGTCAGTCAGTCAGTCACGGCTTATCTTATCTCATGTGTGTGTGGTTGTGTTGCGTGTAAACCACGTGCTGTGCAGATATCCCTGGTGATGAATCTGCGTGAAGTGCTGGAAGACGCCATGTGATGTGACCGACAGATGGATGGAGGGAGGGATGGAGGGAGGGAGGGAGGGATGGATGTGTGCCTATCTGTGTGTGCGTGTCGACTCGACATGGTTGTGACAACAAATAGCCATCTGGGTGTGTTTTCCCAGGTGGCATGGGCCCATGCCATGAATGGTCGTGTGTGTGTGTGTGCAATGCAGTCAATGTGGTTTCTTTCTCAGTTCTCAGTGACGGACGGACGGACGGACGATACACACACGTGTGCAGTGCACGGGACACATTTGTAGTCAGTCATTCACTGTGATGAGTGAGTGGATGGGATGACCTGTGTTTGTGTCTGTCTACCCTTACTAACAACGTATATGTATTACACGTCTCACCGTCATGTTAGCGAGCGAATTACACACACACACCGACAGACAGACATCAATCGCCATCATGTCATGACAGCTGGCCAGCCACAGATTTGATAGAAAACGACGGTCAGTCACGATAAATACCGACAGCATGGCATGCTACCCACAATGTAAGGATGGAGGAATGCATTCATTATGTATGCACATATATGTGCAGGGGACACGCAAGTCAAGTGGCAGCTGGCGACACAACACACACAAAAATACATAGGCATCACACAGACAGACAGACAGGCAGACAGCAGCCCCCCTACCCCTACACCTTCACCCCACCCCCTGTGCGCCACAACCTGGTGTGTCTACGCATCGCATCGCTCATCACTCGATGAGCCGCTCACCGCCCTCGATCCCTGCTCTACCACTCCCATTCCCTCTCCCCTCTCTCTCCCCGCTGCTGCTGCCGCCATCCTCTGAGCTGCTGCTGTCGGGTTGGCGTGCGACCTCTTGCCATGGTTCGACCTCCCCGTCCCCCGTGTCGTCGTCTGCATCCTCATCAGAGTCGGTCTCTCGCTGCTGCCTGGCGGCGTGCTGCCTCGAGTCTCTGTCGGTGTCTGTGGTCTCTTCTTCTACTTCTGGGATGCCGACCTCCTGTTCGCCGTCTTGCTCGTCATCCTGCTCCTGCTCCAGGCTGGTGTCGTTGGCAGCCTCCACTTGCTGCTGCTGCTCATCCAGAGCGTCTTGGTCCGCTGCAGGCTGGCTGTCTGCCGCCCCGTTTCTTCCCTCCCTTCTCTCGCTGGCAGCATCTTCCTGCTGGATGACGGCTGGTGGTGGTGGTGGTGCTGGTTCCTTGTTGGCGTCATTGTTCTCCGCGGCCGTGTCGTTACTCTCATCATCAGAGCTGTCCTTCTTCCCTGCCCCTTCCTGTGACATCGCTTCAGCCTCCTCCACAGTGGCTGCATCCTTCTGGACAGGTGCTGCATTGTCAGCTGCCTTGGCGTCAGTCGACGCCTGTCCCCCCGGCCCCCCCGGGCCGTCCTCCCCTCCCTCCGGTGGCTGTGGCGGCTGTGGCGCTTGTGGCCGCTTTTCAGAGCGCTCCGCACTGCTGGCCACAACGACAGGCTCCTCCTCTTGCTCCTCGATGACCATCTGACACGATTTGTGGGCTGCGTCGGGAAGCACGATGAAGGAATACGACAGAGCGTCGAGCATCAGGGGATCATCCCGGTGGACAACGTTCGGGTGGAGAGCAGGCATGACCGTCTCGTTGGTGGCGGGGTCGACGGTCGGTTCCAGGCGCTGGCCGTTGAGGCTCATTGCTGTCGAGTCGGGGTCAGGCGAGGAAAAGATGTAGTCGAGCCGACGGGCGCCGCGGGTCTTGAAGGAGATAGAATAGGACTTCTTCTTGTCGAAGTTCAGTAATAAAATCGCCACGCCGCCCGGATGCTCCTTGGCGCACTGGGCATAGATCCGCAGAGGGGGCGTCTTGACCCCTTCCACCCCGAGCGCGTCCCACAGCCCGCCACCAGTGGCCGGCCGCCTCCTGGTCTTCAGCCCTCCTCTCCGATTAGCCTCGATCCTCCGCAGAAGTGAGCTCTTTCCCTCCTGCGGCACGTGCCTCGCGCACTGCACATCGCCCTCCATGACGTCGCAGGCCAGTGAGGGCTTCCTGCTGTTGGGTCGGGGAGGGCCCCTGCCGACCATTCTGTCGGGTGATGACTGGAGGTTGAACTTGGGGTTGATGGCGGGGGATCCCATGATCTTGTTCCACAGGATGGACGTGTAGAGGTCGGGCATGGGGGCGTAGGTCTGGTTGTGCAGGAGGCCGTAGAGGCCACCCACGAGGGTCTGCCGGCACCAGTGGGTGTAAGATTGCGCCGCCGCCATGCCCAGAGAGTCAAGGTACCAAAACCCAGAATAATAGTTCATCGTGACCAGCCTGAGACCAGACGAGACGAGACGTCACACCCGCACCGCATATATGCAGGTAACGAAACCCCTCCACCCTGTCAGCTGCATGTGCGCTACCTGCTTCCGGAGTTGTATGCTCCCCCCGCCTCGCCCATCCAGACTTCAGTGCCCGGCGCACGTTTTGCCGTGACGGTGGCCACGTCACGCACCAGTGGCAGCTCCCACCGCAACATGTAGGACGGATCAAGCGCCTTGTTCTTCACCTCAGGATCCACCCTGCCGGACAAATCGAACCGAACCAGAGATATATGCAAACCGAAGCAGAGAGATGTGTGTTTGTGGGCTGCTGGGCTGGCTGTGTGGAGCCTCCCTCGTGTCTGGCTCACCCGGCGCCAAGAACGTACTGCAGTCAAAGCAGCGGCACAAAAAAAAGGAAGGCAAGGCAAGGCAAGGCAAGGCCAGCAGCGAACCGATCAATGATAGCGTGTGTAGTGTAGTGCAATCCCCGATCCCGTCAGCATTGCTTACGTTGTGGTGGGTATAGGCGTCAAGCCTCATGTCCCGTTGGGCGAGCTCGTCGAAGAGCTGTGCGGTGTATTTTTCATCGAACGTCGAATCCATGCCGACCAGCATTGGCCTCCCGGCTCCAATCAAGGAAGGAGCGCCGCCCTCAGACCCGTTGACTGGTGCAAACGACCACTCTGGGACACCGTCTGCACACAACGATTGACATCCATGATACATCACAAAGAGTACAGGTGTGTTGTGTGCGTGTTAGATGCATGCATGCTCACTCACGCCAGATCTTGTCGATCAGCTGCCTGGTTTGTTGGATCATTTTGACGGCCTCCTCGACGTCAAAGTGGGCGGTGATGGCGGTTTCCGACCACAACTCATTGCCCATCTGTGTGGCACACAACATCAGCACAGGCGAGGCGCTCTGCTGTCTGTAACTTCGGTAGTGTCCTTCTTCCTCCTTTTCACCTCGACAGCGTATAGAGGCGCATCGGACTCTTTGGCCCACCGCAACAGACGCTCAGCTGATGGGAGTCAACACACACGTACACGCACTCACACAGATGTCCATTCTGTGTCCATAGAACCAACGACTGACTCACCGTCTGCAGGGTCCCAGACTCCCTCGTAAGACAGGTGACCGACCTTCCTCCGGCCGTACAGAGCGTTCAGACCAAACGCAAGAACACAGCCAGCCTCCTGAGGGACGCCACGTAGACACGCAAGGCGACGTCTGGCAAAGCAGCAATCGTCAGCGTGCGTGTGCGTACCTTGCAGTAGTTGGAGAGCTCCAGGAAGCGCGAGTGAGAGAAGCAACCGCCGATGAAGCCCAGCCTACATGACACACACGCACACACACAAGGGCGTCGCTATGCCATGATCGACCTTTATGTTGCTCTTCGCCCGCCTGCCCGCCTGACCTGTCGTCTGGATCTTTCTTCATCTCTTGGGGGCAGGCCTCGCCGTCCTCGCGGTAATAAATGTGGTCCTGACACACACACGCACACGTGCCGCAGGTATGTTTGGTGTATGGATGGATAGTGGTCGAGTGGCTGGGCTGACCTGCAGGCTGCCTCCAATGCGCAGGATGAAAGGGGCGAGCGCCTTGCCTGCCGGGATGAGCTTGCTGAAGTCCACTGAGTTGAGACCGACATGATGCCAAGGACAGATGCCGTAGTCACACTTATCCTCGGGCCACCAGTCCAGATTCGCACACACGAACCCCAGCGGGTTCTCTGGAGCCGGCCCCTCCAGTGCTTCAGCCGGGGGCTGCTCATCTGCAGGCTCGATCAGCGACAAGGACACGACCACGGACGAAGACGCTGGGGCCAGGCCGCGCCCGAACTGCAGGTCGCTTATATCGCTGTTGATGGACGCCTTGCGGGGCGCGGTGTCCGTGACGATTCCCAATAGCGCATCACTCTCGTGCAGCCGGGGGAGAAAGAAGCTGAAGATGATCCTGCAGAAAACAAGCACGGCGCACGAGAAAGACAAAAGCGTGAGCGATGCCGGGCCCTGCTTCTTCGCTGCGTCTTCTGTGTTGTGTTTGTGTTTGTGCTTGTGCTTGTGCTTCTTTCTTACGTGGCCAAAGCGGCGGCGAGCAGGGACACTGTGAATATTTTAAGGGCCAGCTTCCGCATGCCCTGGTGAGTTGCAGACATCGCCTTCGTTTCTGATCCCTCGACACTGGACGAGAAGCGCGCAGACCTCATTCCGTGAAACCGCTCCACCAAACTGTTGACGCACGATGAATCTCCTCTGCCTTCTTTACAGCTTTGCTTTGTTGTCGGTCACTGCGACTGGCGGCAACACTTCTGCAGTGCAAAGCGACAGACTGAGTGCCATCCATGCGCACACTGCCGGAACAGCCGGTGCCGCCAGGGGCAGTGCCGACTGGAAGGGCACCTTTCCAGAGCGAAAGTGCACCTTCCACCCGATTGTGTGCTCGAATTCGTTTGACAAAAGGCACCTTGGCTACTATGAGCAGGTAGCTGACCAGACGACTCACTACCGTCCACATTGCATGCATGTGCTGGTGCCTTGTGTGTAACAACAGCTCTACGAAATCCTCACAGATCCAAACCTGGGCAAAGGCAGCGAAATTATCTTCACGGGTACACATAGAGACATCGGTTGGCAGCGGGTATGTGAAGTTGACGGGCGTGTCTCGGCTTCTCTGTCTCTCTTGCATGTAGGCTACAAGATTGATGTGTCCACACGCCTGCTTGGCGCATGGGTATCTGCCGACAACCCGCCGCTGTCATTTTTGTTCAAGAAGTTGATCGAGAAAAACGTGAAGATTCATGTGGTCTTCTGGCAAAACATCGGTAATTCACATGAGGGAGTGGACTGACTACAACTGATCGGTGGGTGCCTCCGTTGTCCAGGCACCTTCACCCTTGACGCTGTCACGACGACCGCATACAATGTGAACGAACAGGTGACCGATTCGTACCGGCAATGGTACGTGTTGTGCGTTCTTTGATGGACTCACCCAGATTGTCTGACTGACATGCAGGCCAAACAGCTTGACAGAATGGGCGTGCGAGTCTTCATCGACGTTGGCACGGAGTATGGGACCGCAAAAATGGCCAATTCGAATCACATGAAAAGGTCAATTTGTCAGGTTGGCTGCGTTGCCGCGTTATCGAATGCTAGGTCCATTGTGTTTGCGTCAGTCTTGTTATCAATCGTGAGGTGGCCTTCATCGGCGGCCTGGACATTGACCCAGAGCGTGTTGACTCGCCAGAACACCGACATGACAATCCCTCAAGATACGCTCCGAAAAAGCCAGGTTGCGCCACTGAGTATTGAGCAGAACAGAGCGAATGGGAGACACGACAATGTAACATGACTTGCAGGTAATCTGCAGAAGCCTTGGCAAGATATTCACAGTCGTTTGACGGGCCAGGCAGCAAAAGACATTGCCTACATCCACGTCCACAGGCAGGCAAATCTCTACACACAAGGGAGGTCTTCTATCTTCTCCCCTTCCCGTGTTCGAATTCGATGGCAGGAGGGGTGCAAAATCTACAAGTCCGACTCCTCCTCTTGGCTCGGTGGCCTCCTCAGCGGCGCAGTGGCTATCTTTCGAGACATCGTCGATGACGACTTGGCCGCCATCCGCGACAAAATGTGCACGGGGTCGTACATGCCGCCGTGGGACTACGAAGCGCCACGATTCGATTTCACGCCGTACTTGGAGAAACACAAGGGCTTCCCCGGAACGTGCCAGATTCTGCTATCTGGCACGAGAAACTTCTTGAAAACGCCAGAATCCATAACTGTCACCAGCATTATGGTGCGGAGAGCGAGAGAAAAACAGTCGAACGTGCCTATGTCTGTATGTCTGTACTTGATGTCTGTGTCTATCAGGATGATTATGTCAGACTGATTGGCAATGCGGAGCGCTATGTGTATCTCGAGACTCAATACTTTGTTGGGCTCGCAGCGGACGTCGACTGCAAGGCGGCACTGCAGTCAGAGGACGGCAACTTCCACCCAAGAAACGCGGTCCCTGCCGCAATCTTCGAGCGCATCACCAAAGCCATGGACAACAAGGAGGACTTCTCCTTCGTGCTGTCCGTGCCACTCGCCCCCTGTACGCGATGTGTGCTTCTCTGTGCGCGTTGTGTCTCATGTCTCCTTTCATCTGTCCCAGATCCCACACTGCCCCTCTACGCGGTCCTCATGAGCCTTTTCCACGAGCGGTGTGGCATGGTTTCCCAGCTTGAGCGCTACCGGAGCAAACACAACGTCCGAGAACCACTCAAGCGCTATTTCAGCGTCTATTTCCACGGCAGGGTGGCCAACCTGGCTTCTGCCCGTGGGGCAGTGGCTTACGCCACCTACGTCCACAGCAAGATGCTGATCGTAGACGACAGGTATTGCCACCTTCGGGAAGTCCTGATCATGTGTCTCGATTGCCCTCTGTCTGTCTGTCTGTCTGTCTCCAGATACGCCCATGTGGGCAGTGCAAATTGTGTGACGGGCAGGGAGTAAACCAATGACAACTGAGTTACACTTCGGTACCCGTTGTATTCGTCAGGCAACGACCGCTCCATGACGGGCGAGGGAGACGCGGAGGCCAACGTGCGATTCACAGCCGGGAGCGCCAAGCCCGACACGAATGGCGTCGTGGAGCTCAGGAAGAAGGTGTTCGGGTACCTGTTTCCCTACCTGACGTTTGACCCGTTCTCCACATATAAGCGCAGCTTCTCAGAGATGGTGAGCGATGCCGTCGACGAGGCCGGCGAGGAGGTGGCGCAGCAGACGGGGTTGGACTGGGCCCACGGGACGCTCCAAGGGAAGCCTCTGAGGGAGCTACCTAACTGGGAGAAAATCACTGGAGGTGAGGCACACACAGGAACAAATGGACGAGACAGAGACAGATGTCGTGTCAGGGTTCAACTACATCGACTTGGGCCACACCATCGACGACAGTGCTCTGCCTCTGCTGTGGCCGCTCACCAAGGACATATTCGGCGAGCCACGCAGCTGGAGGGGCACTTCCAACGCCACCAGCCTCGCCTATCTGGCGTGGTGAGAGGGGGTGATTGATTGATTGATGGACCTGCGGAGCGGGGCGAGGACTGTTATGGTCGTGATGCTACAATTGATGGACGTGACTCTTGAGTTGTCCGGTGAACAGCCTTAGTTGGTGGATAAAGCAGCGGAAGTCATGCAAGCATACAGGAAAAGCGAATGGGACACTCACTGACACGGTCCGGAAAAAGACAGAGACACACGCTGAGACTCGCGATCGTCAACACATTCGGTTGGAAGGACAGACACTGAAGGAAGGCACGGTAGCCACCTCACGCTTCCCCCCTCTCTATAAAGCCACACGCACGCCACGCACGCATAGAAGTGTGTCGGTGCAGTGCATGCGAGTGTGCTGCAGTGCACTCACTGCACCCCACCCAGCCTACCCCTGTACAAACAAATACTCGCGACTGTCACGTCACACGTGCCCTGCGATTCCCTGACTACCCGTGTGCTGCCATCGCATCGGATCGCATCGCATGCCATCGACTGATGGACCGACCCGACCCACATTGTGTGTGTGTGTGTGTGCGCCCCCTCCCTCCCTCCCTACTCATAAAGCCATTACATCGGGTGTGGTGTGGGTGGTGAGTGAGTGGACGGTGCCGCCACCAAAAATGGGGGCGCACCGATCTGTATCATGTAGGTGAGGTGGGGATGGAAAGGATGGACTGGGTGCCGTGCAGCCCTGGCGAGTGAGTGTAGTGGACGGACGCGTGAATGAATTTGTGAATGAATCATGCATGTACCATGAACGTCGAACCTGCTCTAAAACACAGTCTAGTGTGAAGCTTCCCCTCGGGCCTAATCCTTCCTTACCAGGTGGAGGATCAGCCCAGTTCGTTCGACACAGCTCTCGCCACCCCCACACCCCGAGAGCGCCCCAAAACCGATGGTCGAATGAGCCACTACTGTATGCATTGCATGGCTGGCATGTGGAAAAAAGGCGTGGTGAATAAAACGCACCAAACACGCAGGCACGTCACAGTCACACAGCCGCCCACCCCACCCGGACACACTGCCACATCAGACCGACCCCCAAAAAACCACTGAATGAATGAATGAATGAATGGATCGGCATGGCGTGCCTACGCATGCACGCCATGCCCTTCCTTCCTACACCCCCACTAGCCACAACAAATCAGTCAATCGAGAGAGAAAGGGATGGCAGGCAAGGCTCGGCGCCTTCACACACTCACGCAGTCCCATGACCCATCTATAAATTACTCCCCGTGTGGCCATCCACACGAATCGGCCTGTCCGCCGACTGTTCCGCCAGTCTCCGTGGCAGTGTGCCGGGAGTGGGTGGCGGTGGGACTGGGACAAGAGAAGGCGGCCCCACAGGTCGGTATGACCGCGACGCCGGGTACTCGCCGTTGATCACCTCTTGAGCCGTGTCGTCGCCCTCTGCCGGCACCGGCTCTGGATGAACGAACAGCAGCACCAGCGGCAGATAGATAGATAGATGTGTACCAGTAGAGGCAGGCAGAGAGGCATCTTGTGTGGTGTGGTGTGGTGTGCATTGCATACCTGTGCACTTGAGTGAAGCTCCCTGTACGTCGGTGAAGCACAGGAAGGCGGCGCCGTCGAGGTCGAGGCCCTCCTTGCAGTCCGTGATGGCCGTCTCGTTGCCCTGGCAGTCGGGACGAGACACTACCGTGCGGTTGCCCAGGTACAGAGCGTAGATGTTGATTGCCTTGCCGAACCCTGCGGACACATACACATACACATACACATACACACACGTGTTGATGCAGGATGGTTGCGGAGGGGGTGCGCTCGGGGTCATCCCTCATCCATCCATACGCACCCAGTTGGCTGCAGATGACATTGGCTTCGGCGGCAGCGAATGTTCCGTCGCCACACACCGCTCCCCAGTCCTCCAGCTCCTCGTGGTAGATGAGGATCTGACCCTCAAAGGGCGACGCACCAGCGTGCAAGCGGACCTCGCCATGCTCTGACACATACACACAGAGATGATTGATATCCTCGGCTGCTCATGCGCCTTTCTCCAGCGTGTCGTGTGCGCGTACTGGGCTTCGGTTTGCAGGACGGCGCATAATAAGACAGCTGGCCCGTCCGCAGACACTGCCGAGTGGCCATGTCGTGCGGCCACAGCTCCTCGCCCTCATCGCACAGGCCCTCATAGGTCACCACATCGCCCTCCTCCATCGCCACCAGGCTCGTCCGCGCGGCCGCGTCGTCCGATACCGCGATCTTGCCGATCTCGGGCACTGAGCCGGAGGTGGTGTTGGTGCTGTTGAGGACCTCCTGCCTGGCTTGAATGGAGGTCTGCGTGACGTTGACTTCGCACGTGCACGCCGGGCACGAGCCGCCGCAATCGATGCCGAACTCGTCGCCGTTGAGCCTGCCGTCGTTGCACGACACTGAGGGAACAGCGACCGACCAGAAGTCACATTTTTTCGTGGGATTTGGCGGTTGTGGATATATAGGAGTGAGTACCTGTAGAGTTGAATGTGACCTCCTTCTGAGGCGCAAGGAGCTCCATGCCCACGGTGACGATGTGCCGCCATGAGCTGCCGTAGGCCTCCCCGCCGAGCGGCGCGCCACTCATCCCCGCCACCACACCGATCGGCAGCCCCTCCAGGCCTGGATCTGCACACAACACCAATGCCACCAACACACACATGAATGAGTGTCTGGTCCAACACACTCACTCACTGATGGTTTCCCAATGCTCACCTGCCCCGACGAAGCCCGCCACGCTGGATGCATCGAATCTGGGGTTGATTTGCGGCTCCATGTCGCTTGTGGGGCTCCTTGCCACAGGCACGTCGCTGAACGAGCCGTCGAATGACCTGGCCGTGTTGGTGCCAGGCGGGTCTGAGACGTCCCCTGATGGGTCGTTGGAGCCGGCGAGTGCAGCGGGGGCCGTTCGCGTGCGGGGCCCGATGCGGTTGCGATTGTTGGGGAGGTCGTTGACACGACTCGTGCGGTAGAAATCCCAGCCCACACCGTACACGAATCCCTTGCCCATCGGCTTGAGCCAATTGGGGGTGAACCCCAGACAACCTGCAGGGCGGGCAACCGACAGCACACACACGCACACACACAGAGCAACAGATAGAATGAGTGCAGTGCCGCAGGGGGCTCCTTTCATTCCCCCCCTCCCTGACTCACCGTATAGCGGGATGGCCCCCTCAGGGAGGGACGACTCCGAGACGGACACCGTCACGTCCAGATCGGGAAGCTCCATCGGCAGCGACCGCAGCAGCTGGCCCTCACGGTCATCCGGCGACTGCACACACCACACAGAGACACATCACACACGATGTCAGGTCAGGTGAGAGGTGTACTCAGTGACGGCGTCGATGGGATGGCGCTTACCGAGTTGCGTACGATGCTCTGCAGCTCAGTGGTGCGGTTGAAGCCGGCGCAGAAGATCATGTCGACGGCCAGACTCGGCACGGGAATGGCAATCGTCCAGTTGAAGAGGTAGTTGACCAGTGTCGCCATCTCCGTCTGCACCACTAAGGCCCCGCCAGATTCGACAAACCGCGAGAAGGCCTGGACATCTGACTCGTCCAGCTCCAGGAAGAGCTGCCGCCGCACCACGGGGGTCGGCACCCAGACGAAGGACTTGTTCTGGAAGAGGGCGCCGAGGGAGCCCGGCCTGAAGTCGTAGATGAGGTCCAGTTCGATGTCTAGAGAGAGGAGGAAGTTGCGGACGGCCATGGCGCTGGGGATGTACACCATGGACTGGTCGAACAGCAACACGCCCTTCCGCTGAGGCGCACCTGCACACACACGCACACAGGGGCCCGTTGACAGCCGCCGACCTGAGGGAATTGCCGGTGTTGTGTTACCTCGAGTGGTTGTCACAGTGTGGTCCCAGGGTGGTGGCGCCTCGGGCACGACTGGATCCCCATCTCGCGTTAGCAAGGGAGCCCCTTCCTTGGACTTGCCCGTGCACACCAGCCACGTGTCGGCATTGTCGCGGCATCCCTTCTGCAGCGTCCACCGGATGTTGGTGCACTCGGGCAGCCACCGCTCGCTGCCGCGGCAGTCGCACTGGTCGATCCATATGGTGTCCTGGTCCTTGAAGGTGTTGGGGTCGACTGTGCCGCGGTAGAACTCCACCGCCACGCCCATCCCCAGCGATCGGCAGGCCACGTCGCCGATGAAGACGTCGAATGACGCGCCGCAGAAGGGCCGCCACTCGCCGTAGACGTACACCTGCACCAGGCCTTGGTTGGGCTCAGGCGACCCCACCAGCCGAATCACACCGTCAACTGCAGCCAGGTGGAGGTGGACGGACACAAACAAAGAGACGCGCAGTCATTAATGATGACAACACAACCAGGCGCTGCATTCGCCTTTGCGCCGTGATGGTGTGTGTCACTTACCAGGTGCGTTGATGCACGCGGGAAATCCGGAACCATCTTCCCCCAGTATGAGAGTCTCTGGGCACTGGCACTCGAATGTCCCCGGAGTGTTATTGCAGATGGCCCCTTCTGGGCAGGGCATCCTGGGCGGCATGGCGCCCTCAGGGTCAGCCAGGAAGGCCTCCCACTGCCGCTCAGCCTCCAGGCACTCGTCCACGTCCTGACACGTGCCGTTGACGAGCGTGTACCCCGGGTGGCACCTGCAGTCGGCCGTCCCGTCCTCCTGGTTGAGGCAGATCGGGCACTCGTCGCGTGTGGCGTTGACGGAGGCGCACGCGTCTTCCTCGGAGCAGAAGATGTCCAGGCGCAGGTCGGTGGCCTGTCTCTCCTTGTAGTAGGTCCATGCCCCCGATGTGGGCCGGTTGCCGAGGGTGTCCTGGCTCGCCACGTGGCCATCTACCGCTATGCGGTTCCTGTCGAATATCCTGCAGCCATGCCATGTGTGGTGGGGAGGGGGGAAACAACACATCCGATGACTTGGCTGTCCTTCTGTGTGTGGGTGAGGATTATGTTCCCACCATTTCTTGTATTGCGGCGAGAAGTAAAGGTAGAAGCTGCCGCGTGTGTATCGTGGCCACACTGCGTCGATGTCCTCCACCTCCCACACACCGTTGGGCTGCTCCGCGATGGGCGTATCGGGGTGGGACGCGAACCCGTACACATTCAAATACTGGATGATGAATGAGGCATAAACAAAACACACAGCAGAGCAGATGATGATGATGATGGGTGATCGAGTCGACCGAATTCTGTGCCCGCATCTCCCACCTCACCGGGCATCCGAGGCATCCCCCCTCCCTCAGCTGTACGTCGTCGATGGCCATGGCCTCCACGGCAGCACCCACAGCCTTTCTCTGCGCCTCGAAGTAGATGAGGAAGTCGCTCGATGCGATGAACCGTGTGCGGGCGTTCTGCCAGTTCTCTGAGCCGCCCTTGGGGACATCGCTGCCGAGCAGCTCCCACAGCTTGTCGGTGCGGTCGTTCTCGAACTTGTAAACCACCAGGTTGCCGAGGTCGTTGCCCTTGACGTAGAAGTAGAACTCGAGGCAGAACTTGGTGCCGGCCTCGCGGACAATGACGGGTGGGGACTGGATCATGGCGTTGCCCAGCACGTTGTTCGCCCTGATAGATAGATAACGCACACACACACACGCACACAGAGAGGGATAAGCCCATCTCCGTCTCCACGCGATCTGCTCTCTGTGTCCCCTTCTCCCTCCCTCCCAGCACTTCCTCCTTACCATGTCCAGAGGTATGTGTCCCAGACGTAGCCGTTGATGGCCGTCCCCTCCCCCTCCCCGCCCTGGTGCACTGTCGGCGCATCCACAGGTGCCGGCCGACCACGCAATGGGAAGCTCGCCAGGTTGGCGAAGAGCTCCTGCGGCCCCAGCCCCCAGCCATCAGCGTCCTCGAAGCTGTTGAGGTACCCGCACAGCGTCCCGTCGAACGAGCACGACACGGCATCGGGGCACGTCCCCTTGTACAGGGCGATATCGTCCAGTGCCATCTCGCCCCAGTCCCGGAGCTGTCGTGCCTCGAAGACCACCTTGAAGGGCTTGGCCCTGGGCGGGATCTGCATCCTGGCCACCCGCCACACGCCCGACGCTTTGCCGTCCTCCTTGGAGAAGATCCACGAGCCGCCCACGGCGGAGGTGCCGTTGGGGGCCGCGACATCGCGTGGCTCGAGATCGGCGTCCATGATGAAGACGCTGAGGTCGACGATCTCCGAGCCGATGGTGAGGGGGGACCGTGCCACCCAGTAGAAGAACTCCAGACAGAGGGGAGCCGTGGTGTCTTCGTGGGCCGGGGAGATCAGCCGGGCTCGCGCACCGTACGGGTGGAAGAAAGCCGTGTCTGGGGCATGATAGAGAGAAGAGACCAAGGAGGGAGGTACAGGGGCATGCAGGCAGCTTCTCTCTCTCTCTCTCTCTCTCTCTCGGTGTGTGTGTGTGTGTGAATATTGTTCCTTACCAATGTATGCGAAGTTGCCTGATGACGACGTGGGCGTGCTGTCGCTCTGGAAGGTCTGTCCGCCGCGAATCAGCACGCTGCCCGCAGCTGAACCAAGGCAACGCACACGCACCCGCACACGCACACACCACACATCGACTCTCTCTCTCTCTGTCCTGTTTTGCTAACACACCTTCCAGGGACCAGTTGAAGTCGTCCGTAGCGTCCTGTTGGTAGCCGCAGAATCCGAACTCGAAATCACAAGGGACGACGTCACTTGCAAAGTCGTCATGCTCGTGGGAGAAGCTCTGGCAGCTCATCTGCACGTTGGGCAGGTCGCTGCGGCGCCCGTCCCACTGTGCCGTCTCCCAGTTGGCCTCGAGTGGCGGGTGCAGCAACCGCCCGGACACAATGGGGGAGAAGGCCACGGGCACGAGCGATCGTGAGAAGCCCTGCAGCTGGGGCAGGTACTGGTCGGGGGAGCCATGGAAGGAGGTGCCGTTGAGGGCGTCGAACGAGATGACCCAGCGGGACTGATCGGGCTCGTACGACAGGATCAGCTTCTTGTTGTTCCAAACCTGCCAGCCAGCCATATCACACACACGTGAGTGAGTAAATGTGAGCTCCTTCCGACCGCTCCTTGTTTCGTTTCGCAGGCCACGCACCTGGTGTCCGTTTCTGAAGCCGTTGGCGACCCAGAAGCGCGAGACATATCTGAGCATGGGCAGGTTGGCCGACCTGAGGTTCCTCACGTGCAGCACCGAGCAGGGCCGGATGGCGGGTAGGTCTACCGGGCTGACGCCTGTGGCGTTGGTCAGGCTGGTGGCGTTGGCCTCACTGGTGGGGATGGCAGTGGTGTTGGTGGCGTTGTTGGTGTCCAGCATGGGGTACTTGCTGCACCAGCCCTCCAGCACCAGGATGTCGTCGATGGCCATGAAGGGCGTGAACTGCTCGCGCAGCTGCACCCAGCGCTCGTTCAAGGTGGCGCGGAAGGCGAAGCGGAATGGCCCCTTGGGTCTCAGCTGCACCACCACCCGTCGCCACCCCTCCGTGCTGCCCTCACCAACCGTCACCACATCGGTGGCGTTGCCGTGGTCCATCACAACGTCGCCCACCGCTGCGTCGGCAAACTGCTTCTCGCGACCCTCTTTGGGCTCGTACACCATTGCCTGCATCCGGTAGGCGCCGGCCGTCTGCAGCCACACCCACATCTCGACGCAGTGGGGGCCGCCGCGGTTGATGTGGGGCGACACGGCCAGCTCGGGGATGGGCGCCGTCACGTCCTGCGTCAACTCGGGCACGAAGCTCAGGTCCAGCAACGCATACCGACCTGCTCGGTCAAACACACACACAGAGACACATGTGTTTGGTGTGTGTTGTGAGGTGCATTCATTCATTCATTGCGTGCTTACCGAGTCCGGATCCCTGTGTGTGATCCTCCGGGGGCCCCGGTTTGTCCATCCTGTCCTCCGTGCGCTGCTCCACCTGCCAGTCGAGTGTGAAGTCCTCCTCACTTAGCCAGTCCAGCCCCTCGGTGCTGTTGGTCTGCCGCTGCGACGAGCGCAAAGGGCCCCGCTGCCGGCCCAGCTGGCCCCGCCACGTGGACGGACCGATGTCCACTCGCAAGGACGACGGCACGGCCCCTGACACGGGGGGCGCCGCCAGTCGTGAGAGCCGTGTGGAGTAGCCGCAGTCTGTGAAGTCGAAGTCGCATGAGCCGACGGTGCCGCACCAGACGCTGATGTTTTGTGCTGTGGAGACTGGCCCGATGAGGGCCGTGAAGTTGGGGACGCCGCCGGCCAGGAAGGTCTGGGCCACATACGACTGCCACTCGCCCTGGGGGGGCACGACGCCGTGGTGCGCCTCGATGACGTCTGGGGACCGGAATACAAGAGGCTGCACACACATAGAGACACACGCAGCAGACGCGTACGCCAATCAACGGTGCCGTCCACCACGCTCTCTCCCATCGCCCACCTGGTTGGGCGCCCACATCCACCATGGCGCCTCGGGTATTGAGAAGTCGCGGCCCACCCGCATGAGGCCGAAGGGCTCGATTGGTTTGGACCAGGCAATGCCCGTGGCAGCGATGAATGGCGTGTCTGGGGTGTCCACCCGCTCCCCTGTCCCGTTCACCGACTCGGCCAGGTCGCTCACACGGAGAGTCCATTCTCCGTTGAGGTCGCTCGTGGCGGCTGGGAAATTGGCAAATGACAGCACGGGGCACTCGCTCAGCCCGACGGCGTACTTGAGGGCCCGGTAGGCATTGACGCGCGCGTTGGTGATGACAAGGCCCTGGAGGTAGGGCGAGTAGTCGGCTGAGGCGAGAATGCTGCGCTTCACTTGTGACGGGGTCAGGTGGGGGAGGTAGTCCATGAGCAGTGCCGCCACTCCGGCCGTCACGGGCGCCGCCATCGATGTGCCCGACGCTGTGGCGTAGCCTTGGCCGTGGAGGGGAACTGAGGGCGACAGCGCTTGTGGCACTCTGCCATATGTGCTGAGTATTTCCCACCCGGGGGCCCCCACATCGACGATCTGCTTGCCGACATTGCTGAAGCCCGCCACGCCGTCGCTGGGCACCGTGGCGGCGACGCATATGACGTTGTCGAGGAAGAAGCCGCAGGGGTAGTCCTGGACGGACACCATCCCGTCGGCCGAGCGGCTGTCGTTCTCGGCGTTGTCGTTGCCCGCTGCCGTGATCAGAATGTGACCCATGTCGCCCAGCCGACGGATGATCCGTCGGAGCACGGCGTTCATGAAGTAGGCAGCACGGCGCCACCCGAAGGACGCCGTCGACACCTTGGCACCATTCTGGACGGCATAGTCCCACGCTGACATGACAGGGCAGACACAGACACAGACAGATGCGATGCGTGTCTTACGGAGTCTCTCTCGTCCTCCAATGCATTCATTCCAATGCTCTCCTTTCTCGTCTCTTCTCTATCTCTCTGTTCTGTGGCCCGGCCCACCGCACCGGCAGCGTATGCGTCATCTCTGCCGCCGCCAAGTTCGTCCATGACCTGGAGGCCCATGAGCCTTGGCTTCCACAGCACACCAGCCATACCCTCAGAGTTGTTGGCCACCGCACCCACAATACCTGAATTGAATCATAAGACACACCACGACACGCCACGTGCAGCCATAGCAACCAACAGCCATCACATCGATGGACTCGCTGCGTTCGTTGCGTGTGATGTGATGTGTGATGTGTGATGGTCTGTCTTTCTGCGTCGGTGCGCACCGGCAACGTGGGTGCCGTGGTCGTTGCTTGACATGGTGTCGTTGTCGTCATTGATGAAGTCATAGCCAATCAAGTCGTCAATGTACCCTGTTTGCCCGCACAGCAGACCACAGCAGATCACAGCAGACAGAAGCATGATCCGCCCACCACCCTGTCCCTCTCTATGAGTGCAGGGCGCTGGGTAAGTCCGTTTCCCTCACCATTGCCATCGTTGTCGATGCCGTCAGGGATCTGAGAGAACGGACGGAAGAACCACAGAAAGTTATCAGCAGCGGATCAGTCTGGACCACACACATGGCGTGATTTATTCTGTCGTCACCGACCTCATCAGGGTTGTGCCAGATGTTGTCGATGAGGTCGGGGTGCAGGTAGTCCAGACCGCTGTCAACGATGGCCACTATGATCCCATTGTTGCCCTGACACAACACGCCACGCCACGCCACGCCACGCCACGCACATCCAATCCAATCCAATCCAATCAGCCCAGTCATGCGGCGTCATTTCGTATATATGTGTTGCCCACCCCACCGCCGACCCCACCCACCTTGTGAATGGCCCATCCTTCATATGCCTGGATGGCCCTGAGCCACCACATCCCATTGGTGCCAAGCAGGGGGTCATTCGGCACCACACGATCGACACCCTCACCACCGGCGGCTCCATCCCCCTGCTGTTGCTCCTGCAGCCGCCTGGCTCTCCTGGCCTCCTCCGTCCCAGCCGCCATCGCCCCCGCCCCTTGGGACGGCAGCTGGGTCATCTTGGGCTGCTGGATGGGCACTGTCCACTCATCGTTAAACTGGGACGCTTCAACAAAAGGGTGGCTGTCGAGGTGCTCCTTGACAGCCGTCTTGTTGCCCTGCGGCTGGACCGTCACGATCTCCACATCAAGTGCTTTGAGGGGTCGGATGGACTGAATGCCCAGAGAGGGGTCGAGGGTGAGTGCCCTGCGATAGTGGGCACGGTCCTCCTCTGAGAGTGTCTCGGGGAAGGTGAACAGCAGCTTGTGGGGGGTGGTGGACGGGGCACCTGAAATCCACAACACACACAGACACAGGCACACAGGCACACAGATGAGTCATCTCCCTGCAACTACATGGGAGTGCGTGTGAGAGTGTGCGTGCATCCGCCAGCCTTGTCACTCACCAAGTGCGATAGACACGAGAAGCAAGACACACAGCATGACGCCCTTCACACGTCGCGGTGTGCATGGGTTCGTCATCGACGCTTTGCCCGTCAGCAGCGGCACACCCTCACAGCTCGCCCCTGCCATGGCTGGGCTGTTCGTCATGGATCCTCTCAGGTCAAGAGGCGCGCCGGGTGCGCGAGGCCATGCACCGATCTGTCTTGCTTCCAGATGTCTTGAGGAGAGATGAGCAGGTTGGTGGTTCTCGGTGACTTCCTGATGACTTGCTGAATGAAACAGCAGATGTGCGATACTCCAATATGCGATGGCGCTGAGAAACAAGTGCTGGGACTTCTGCGATCCTTCTCGCAGATGCGAGCTGAGCTGCAAGACTTCTCAGCCGTCGGCTTCTGGACCTTTCGGCTGGAGCGTCGCCTGCCTGTATGGTGCTGATCATATCGTCTATCGCGATTGGCTCGTTCGTGGCGTGGCTTGTCAGAAGCAGGAGGCCGTCTGCACCGACCGACAAGCGACTCAACTTGAAGGTGGAGGTCAAACAGCCAGGGGAAAGCGTGGAGGGAGCCGTGGCCTCTGAGCGTCACGGTGTAATGGCGGCAGGCGGCTGATTCCGTAGCTTCGGCGTTCTCGAGCGGAGGCGCTTGTACTGTAGACGGCTGTCAAGGGCCGTGGATGGAGGAGAGGGACGGGGAAAGGGGTTGGCTTGTCTGCCGAGAGCTAGGTTTTGCCTGTCTGCTTCCCAGCGCGACGTCTGCCACTGCCTGTCTGTCTCTGTCTGGAGTAGATGCATTTGTCTGTCTATCTGTCGGGGAGCATGTGTGTAGACCTGTCTGCCTGTCTGCCTTGCTCACCGTGGTACGGGACGGGGGTATGTCATGTCGATGGATTGATTAGATGGGGCAGTGCAGTGCCGTGCAGTGCGTGCAGTGTTCTTGTCTGCCTGTGCTTCCCTTCCCTGTGCATTTGCTCATCACGATCACGTACGGACGCTCTGGTTGGGCTGCCTGCACGGCGATTTAAGTGGGCCTTTTTCCCGCTCGTTTTTCCGTGACTCATGGACAAACAGACTGCATATAATGTATGTGATTTGATTGATTGATTGATCAACTGGCTACCCTGACGCAGTCATAAGTTGTTTGACCGAGAACATTTCGGTTGAGTAGTACACCTACAAACGCACTCACGAAGGCAAAGATGGTATGATAAAATGCACTCAATCCATCCATCCAGCCATCCAGCCACTGTGTGTGTCGTGTCATGTGTCTGTCCATTCGAGTCGACACTGTCCGCTGCGTACCGATCGATCGACACTTCCATGTGGTAGATGGCTGGCTGGCTGGCTGGATGGATGGATGGACTGACGGAGAATGGACTGCTGCACTGACTGCATTGAACAGCAACAGGTCACCCATGTGACCGACCAGTCAAGTCAGGGCAGGACAGTCTTTGCACATGCCATGCATGGTTGCAACTGTCAAGGATACAAGCTAACTAACTAGTGAAATACACCCACCCACATCGACGCAGACCAGCCCCCCCACCCACC